GCCCAAGGATGGGGACCACTTTGGGCTCTTGGTTCACCCACAGACTTCAGAAACCAAGATTCTACCCCCAAACAAGCATGGAAATCAGTTTGAAAGAAGAAGAAAATAATCAAACGTTTTTTAAAGAATCCCTGCTTTGAAAATTGAAATTCTGATTTTTTTTTCTTTCTTTTCAGCAAAAATGGGCTAATTGGTTCCATCATGCACCATCCATCTGGCCGTAATGGCAAAGCTTTCTTCTTCAGGATTACGTCTATATTCTTTCCTCTCTGGTCTAGACCCAGGGGGAGAGAGAGAGAGACCCAAACTCTTGTCTTGTGATTCCCGGAATGGGGGCCAGGGACAAGGAGGAAACACCAAGGACATTTTCCTTTCCCTGTTGCCCCAATGTCTCCGCTCAAATGATGCATGGCCCCTGAGCACCCCTCACTGATTCCCCAAATCTCCGTACCCATCTCTCCTTCAAATCACCAACTACTTCATGCCTGTTGCTTAGAACAGAAGAAAAGCCTCCTGCTTACTCACTGCCCAACACAGACATACCTCCATACAGCCTGATACACTCAGGCCAAACATCACTGTCCCTATGTGTCCCTGGGGGTGAGGGCCAAGAAATATGACCAGGGTGGGCTCAGGCCCCAGCTCAGGTGCCTGAAAACACAAACTCATTGTATAAAGCCCAAGCCCCAGCATTTAGCTTCAGACACATCTCTGGTTTCCTGGACACAAAGGAACAACCCAAGCACAGAGGTTTATGGTCTGCCTCCCAAAGAGAGTCTCATTAAACCTGCAAGTACTGCTGGGTGACAGGGACAACAGCACTATTCCCTCAGGCCAAACTCAAAGGAAACTTTTATCCACCGGGACAGGTACTTAGAGAAATGGTGCTGTACTCCTAAAAACCCATTTGGTTTTGATTCCTCCCCCCAGAACAGGGCCCAGTCCGCCGGGCGTTGTGCTTTCATCCTGCACTCCAGCCGGACGTAAATCTAAAACAGAGCCCCCAGACGGTGCGTTTAACAGAGACTATATTTACCCATCACCAAATTGTCTTGACGTGTGCTTAATTACTTAAATGCCTTTAATCCCAAGCCTTTTCTTCTAACAAAATATAAACCAGTTCAGCTAGATGAATGATAAACCAGATGTTTACAACACACAACATGGTCTGGCTTCGGTCAAAATAATTAAGACATCGTCTCCTGAGTGGAGAGGAGAGAAGCCCAAAGCATACATTTTTTTAAATGCTGTGACAC